ACTCACTCACTCACTCACTCATATCTTATCTCACTCACATTCATATGCACCTTATAATAAGAACTAACCTCTCACATCCCTGGTGGGGAGGGGACTGATCGGCGTCCTCAGAAACCAGAGTATCCGAGCGCCAGGTGATGTCCCTGCTGCAGCTTGGCGACGCTGAGCTTCATAAGGTGTACGGGAGCCGGGTCAGTTTCACCACTGGGGTGAGGAACCTGAAGATGGATGATGGAGCTGGCTGTCGTGAGAACGTTATTATTGAATTAATTGCAGTTATAAATAATTTTAAAATTTTTTACTAATAAAAAAAATTTAAATTTATATATATTAATATAGTTAAAACAATAAATATATATATTATGAAATAATGAAATTTAAATTTATTTTTTATAGTTGTTTGTAAATTAATTAAACAAATAAAATATGAAAATAAAATTATCATTCCCCTAATTATAATTAAAATTACATAAAAAAATAATAATGATAATGATTTAATTAAATAAATATTAATTGACATGAAAATAGTAAAGGAAATAAAATAAATTAATTGATTTAATGGATTAAAAGAAATTTTAAATAATAATAAATTAATTAAAAAAATTAAAATTAAGAATGAATTTATTATTATAATATAATTTAAAATAAAAATTTTCATTATTTCAAAAAATAATTTACATATAATTTTTAAAACTATAACTAAAAAAATTGTTTTAAGTTATGTAGTTTAATAAAAACATTAATTTTGTAAATTAAAATTTAAGATATAAAATTATATAATTAATAATAATATATATATAAATATAATTAAAGAATTAATTATTATTTTCTTTTTTATTATTATTATATTTATATTTGTAAAAAGTTGTTATTATTTAAGATTTTTAATCATAATAGAATTTTTACATATAATTTTTATTTTATTCATAATTTTATATATATATATATATATATATATATATATATAGATTATTTTTTATATTCATAATATTTATAGTATAAAAGGTATTTGTATCTAATTTATATCTAAAGTTAGAAGCTTTAATTTTTTATTTCAATTAAATTAGAATTTTATTCAATAATTTTATTAACAATACATTTTTTTGATTTTAATTAAATTAATTTAAATTGAAATAATTTAATTTAATTTAATTAAAAATTAAATTCATTCAATTTTTTAAATATGAAGTAATTTTTACATTTAATTTCGACTTAAAAATTAATCAGTATGATTCTTATTTAAATTAAAATATTCAATATAAATAACCTATTATTCATTCAATAATTAATGTAAATAATATTACAAATATAAATAATAAAATTATATTAATTATATAGAAAAAATTTATACATTTAAAGTAAAAATTATAAGAATTAATAAAGTAATTTTAATATTAAAACTTAAAAATAATAATCTAATTAAAAAAAAAAAAAATAGAAAATGGTAAAATATAAATTTTGAAATTTAATTAAATCCACATTCAAATGAAACTTTTTTTAAAATTATTTTTTTATTAATTAATAAAAATTTATTTAAATTAAAAATAATTATTGAAATTAATATAATTAATATAATAAATAATATAAAAATTAATATTATAATTAAATAAATTTTTTAATTGGAAATTAAATGCATTATTAATACTACATATATAAATTAAATTAATGTATAATAAAATAAATATAAAAATAATTAAATTACATCTATAAAATGTTAATATCAAAGTGATAATTCAAAATTAATATGATGAATTAATGAAAAATAAAAATTAAATAATCGAAATAATAAAATAAGTAACAAGTAACAACAATGTTCTAATTAATACGTGAATTCTATGAAATCCTGTAGATAATAAAAAAAAATTGATCCATAAATTCTATCTAATATTTATTCTAATATTTATACTAATACAAGCATTTTTAAATTCAATTATTTAAACAATATAAATAATATATAAATATAAAATAATTATAAATAATTTTTATATTACTTTAAAATTATTTTTTAAAAAAATACAAATGACTTAAAGTAATAAAAAATTTTAAATTAATTGAAATAAATGTATTTAATAATAAAATAATATAATTAAATATTTTAATTATTTTATGATATCATATTGTATTAATTTTAATTGATGAAGAAATAAATTTATTAAAAAATATTCGAATAAATAAAAATGTTAAAAATAATTTATAAATAATAAATATAATTAATTTAAATTTTAATTTTATTTTAATAAAAAATATATAATTATTTATAAACTTTGTTTTAGGAATAAATTTTTGGAGTCATGAAATTCTAATAAGAATTATATTTAAATAATAAAATGGTTTTACAATAGAGTGAATTGGAGGAAATAATTATTTTGAGAACAAGAGCATTATAAAATATTTCTCTAAAAGAAATGGATATTTATTTTTAATAACTGACGTATCTGTCTGTAATATGTTCTTAATATGTATTAAGTAGCTTAAAAATTTTGAGATATTAATTTGCATTTAAATAAATTCAGTGTAAGAAAATTATTTACATTACTCATGTTATATATATATATATTTATTAATTTTATAAAACATAATTCTGAATAATATTAAAAAATAATTTGATATTCAAATCAAATAAATATATTTATTCAGTTTACCCAAGTGTATTAAATACATATTCAATTATTTAAATAATATTTATATTCAAGCGAATTAAAAAAAAAATACATATATATAGGACGTACCAAAATTATGTGTATAGACTATCCACAGCTAGATTCTGCATCATTGGATCAGTGGAGATCTGTTTGAAAAATAACGTGCAAAATTGTACTTGGCCGGTTTTCTCAAGATCAAAGTTTTTTATTGTTGCATCGTGATCTACTCATCGAGAGGATAAAAAGTATCCAAGAAACACCATAGGTCGCAAATAACTCGTTCTCCTGAAAATGATTATATATATCCAATTATTATTAAACTCGCCATATATGTAACATTTTATATCTTGCAATGGAATAGGCTCTGCTATTGCCGATTGATGTCATATTGATGTCGAGACGAATTCAATACTGTATAAGCTCATTAGGGACAGCGTAATTATAGCAACAACGAACAATCTAATACACAGAGCGTAGCAAATTGTATTAGATTTTTGTGCTTACCAATGCGCTATCCAACGCCGGAAAACATCTTCGCGGTGCTGCTCGGAGGCGAGGCTAAATCTGTCGATGCAGGTAGTGTAGGAGGGCACGACGTCGCGCATTAGAACGCCAGCGATGCTCTCCATGACGCTTCTCTTCGGTGTCATTAATAAAATTCTGGTCGTTACCCTGAACACATAATGGTCTCCGTCATCAGGGGTGACGACATCCTGTTACCGCTGTTATCGTCTTTATTGTCGCTGTAGTCGTGCTTTGAGAAGTCATCAGACCTCTGGTCACAGTCCCCAACTCTTCATCTGCGCTGAAGATGGTCCTGCGTAGCAAAACGGGCAGCTGAACACCTCAGATCGCGGCACGAGCAACACCTCTCTTTGCGTGGTGCTGCTCTCCTTCCTTCTCGTATTCAAAGGCGCCCTCTTCTGGTCTGGCTCCTCTCTTCGCGACTACCCATGCTTCGTCTTCTACAGGTATAGCAGGAGAGGTTCCACCGATCGTCCTCTACACGGTGGCAGCGACCTGGCCGATGCACGTTATCGTGCGACTCGTACTCATGCGCTCCTACCCGGGGTGATCTCCACTCATCACAGCTCTCCTCTTCCGCCTAGGAAAGTCGCACTCCACACAGATCTTTCTTCTCCCCTCGAGGAGTGGTGGGTGGGTGGTCTTTTCCTCGCGGCTCTATTCACTTCCTCCAGACGCCGGGACGGTCTTCCTCTTGGTCGTCTGGAGAGAACCCGCGGGTCGCCAAATCGTTCCAGGTCGGTATCGGGTCGTCACAGGTCGAGAAAACGTTGATTGTTTGGAACCTGTGGATTGGGCCACTTCCAGTGGCACTGCAATACCGCGCTAATTCGCGGTGGTTGAGGAGTGAACTCTGCCAACTCCATCCGATTCCAAAAATCAGGTTCATATACTGACCCTCCCTCCTATGGAGGATGTATGAGGTATTAAACTGATAAGAACAAATTAATTGAGCTTTATTCTTTAAGCCATGTTTCCCGCGGGGACAAAGTCAACCGCCGCGAGATGGTACATAGTCTCGCAAGAGTGGCCTCTTGGCCTACATTATATAAATTATAAGTAGGAGAGGGCTGTAGAGGCTCCTCTCCTTCATGCGCGCTTAAAATATTACAGTTAAGATAGATAAATCAATCAATAAACAGGGTATAAAATATTAGTATATAAACAGAATAGAATAAAATAAAATATAAAATTAGTTTGGAGGCACAGCTGGTGCTGCACGCGTGTTCGCTGCGGTGGCAGTCGCCAGTGTGTATTTAAACAGAAACATGGCTGAAATAGAGCTGGCGCCCCGCATTGGCGCCAGCATCCATGTACATGACTTTTGCACCTTAACAGAAAGCATAAAGAAAAGATAAAAGGGTTAAAACAATAGATTTACAAAATAATAAAAGAATTGTAAAAATTATAAAAGGAACGATAATATACGCGGCTAAAAATGTGTGTCTATAGATCCAGCAACGAGTGAATGCTTAATAAAATTTAAAATTTAAGATAAAATAGGTGTTAAATTCAAAATAAAATAAGTAGTAAACAAGATTAAAGTTCGTTGAAAATTAACTTTAAAAAGCTAAAGTCAAATAGGTTAAAATTATGAATCGGTGGGAGGCAGCAGCTCGCGCTTACGCCGTCATGAACGTCATTGCGTTCACTCGGTTCCGGATCATCGTGTGCGACAGGTTCCTCGGTCTGGTCCCCTGGGATTGGCACACGATATTGTCTGGTACCAGACATGTTCGATGTACATGTCTGGAGACCAGGCGACAGTTTCAGAGACCACCAAGCGTCTCGCAGAGACGCAGCAGGGTCAGCAGGTGATCGTTCCACGGGTACCAAGCTCTCAGGCCGCCTCCAACGAAGCCGTCAATATGGGCGGTGTAACCGTGCCTACGTATCGAGTTGACGAAGGGCCAATACTTCAGAATTTTATTCAACTCTGTCTTCTCGAGCGTCTTAAATATATTTTTGAACGGCACGGTTACATTAGCAATGATGACGGTCTTCGAGAATTCGTGCGTCACAACAATGTCGGGGCACAGAGGTCTTTGGTATCAAACAGATACAATATAAAATAAATAAATAATTATCCATAAATAATAAATAAAATGAGTTAATAAATAAATAAACGCAAATAATAGAAGATGTACCATCGGGGTGTATCATTTAAATTGAGATAAAAATAAAATAAAATAAATAGATTTCGCCATACACTGGAACTCGATATAGATTTAATATAAATTAGACGCCAACACAATCGGTTAAACAGCGAGGCTATATTAATATTTTCTGGCAAAGGTACACCACAAAGTGTTTACCGTTGATCGTGTTTGAAAAAGATTCTCGCTCAGGAAGAACAGCCTCGAATTATACAAAAATTAAATATAGAACATTATACAAAAAATAAAATACAATATCGGTTGAAAAAAGAACAAACGATTAGCTGACTGATAAGATACGCTGTTAATGAATGACTCGATACATTGAGTAGATGCCCTGTATTCTAGCGAATTGTCGCTAGAATATTCAGTAAAATATAAATCCTATCGGCTCTCTATGAGCCAGTGGATGAAATGAATAAAACCAATTAAAATAATTATAAAATACAAGATAATACGTATAGTGCGTACCAGTAGCAAAATTTATCGCGGAAAAGACAATTCGAGACTGCTTCTGTCTCCTCGACACTCTGTATCGCACAATCGCTGGCAGCTTGAACAAGCCGTTAAACAAACTACTGAACTACGATATAAATTTACAATAATTATCAAATACAGGCACTAAGCACATTTACAAAATCCCTGAGAAAGGACTGTGCTGCCTGACGCTCGCCGGTTGAAAAGCCCGTCATCGTCGTCTGGTCGCCCATGTCTACGCACCATTATCCGTTCGCGAGAGAATCGAACTATGTTACTTAAAAATCACACGATGGATTTCGAATAGAGACTAATTCTTAAACATTGACAGCATGTTAAGCCGGATAACCCCATAATAAATGTAAGAGGGGCGCATCCCTCCTTACAATTTAAACAATTATACGCATCGCGCAAAGTTACAATTGTCGTTAACCTAATGGATAAAACAGTTACGAGTTGCACTAATCAATGCTCCTATATTATATATTTAATAGATAGAAAACATAGTAAAACACAATAAAAAGATAAACAATAAATAAAATTCGTAATCAACATATAGTAAAATATTTTAAAATATTAAAATATTTAAGTCACGCGACTAATAGAGGCTAGATCTTCCTCGAGCAAGCTCAA